TCCCACCAACTCCTGGTGGATCAAGATCCAACCCCCTTGGATCTTAAAACAAGGAGAAATTAACCATCCCCCCTCCTTCCTCCCACCAACTCCTGGTGGATCAAGATCCAACCCCCTTGGATCTAAAAACAAGGAAAAATCAATCAGGTTCTTAAAAAGAAGGCTTTTAATTAAAGAAAAAAGATAAAAATAATCTCTGTAAAATCATTATGGAAAATAACTTTACAGGGTAATCAAACTTAAAGAGCTCAGAGGACCTCCCTCTAGCCTCAGGTTCAAAGTACAGCAAACAGAGATAAACACTTTAGTAAAAGGTACATTTACAAGTTGAGAAAACAAAGTAAAACTAACACGCCTTGCCTGGCTGTTTAATTAAAAGTTTGAAATAGGAGAGACTTGTTTAGAAAGATGTGGAGAACCTGGATTGATGTCTGGTCCCTCTCAGTCCCAAGAGCGAAAAAACTCCCAAACAAAGAGCACAAACAAAAACCTTCCCCCACCCCAAGATTTGAAAGTATCTTGTCCCCTTATTGGTCCTTTGGGTCAGGTGTCAGCCAGGTTACCTGAGCTTCTTAACCCTTTACAGGTAAAAAGATTTTGGACTCTCTGGCCAGGAGGGATTTTACAGTACTGTACACAGGACAGCTGTTACCCTTCCCTTTATAGTTATGACACAGACCCACAAGCCTAGATACATGAACAGCTTGGGAGAAAGTCCCTCTTTCAAGGACAGCTGGGGAGCTCCTTGACTGGCGACTCCTGGCTCAATGGCACATGCCGGCTTCTGATCTACCACCAGCCCTTCATCATCGCAATGCTGGGATCAGGGCTTGCTGGGGAATGGCACAGAGCTCTACTGCATGGGATGAGGAGCTGATCAATCTTGTAGGGAGACTGTACTTAAGGCACAAACTAGTAAAGGAGGATTTGCTCCGTCCTGGTCTGTGCCATAACCGCTGTCACCAGTGATGTCGCCAACCACTGCACCCTACAGGACCCTGTGCACAAGCACTGATGCATGCTCTCCCCCCCCCCTCCGCTCCCCTCTTCCATGCTGCCACGATCCAGGTGCACCTTCTCCACTGTTGATTTTTCAGCCTGTAGTGGCCCCCATTTTATGCTTCATCTCAGACTCTCCTATTGACTTTGGGAGACTCATCTAGGTCATTAGCACAGCCTGGTGTTGTCATGGCACACACTAGAGGACAATACTACTCTCAACCCACCTATTGTGGCAGGCTTTTGTAATGAGGATGTCCAGCTGTGACCCATCACGCTATAAAGCAGGGGTAGAAAGATAATTAGGGAAAATCTTCTCTGCTAAAAGAAATCCAGATCTACACAATCATGTTTCCAGCAACATGCATCCCACTATAAAACAGCCTTTGTGCAAACAGAATGGCACAAAACACACCCCACTCACCCAAAATGAAGGTCTTAAAGAAGTTTCTCAGAAGAAACATCAAAATATCATTTTTTTCACTGCTTGTGGAGTCAAAGGAATAATAAGTTTTCAAATAATCTTTTGGATCAAAACATGTCTCAAAAGCTTCTTTCTTAGTGCGGCTCTGGTCCATTTTGTCTCTGAGTTTGCAAACATTCAATTGCCCGGCTGTTCCCGTTCTGGGTTAATATGGGGATCCTCAGCTCTTCCTGGCCATGACTCCACCTTCTTTTCTCCAAATATCAGATTACAGGCTTTCTTCATAATTCCCTCACACACCCCTGTGACCCGGGGTGCCCGGGGCTGCCCTCACTGAAAATGCCAAGGTCAGGCCAGGCTGCAGAAGGGAGAGCAGATACTCCCCAAACTAGTGTTTAACACTGAAGTTAAACTCACCAACCAGTCACAGACAGTACTTCTGATCTCCCACGCTGGTTATCAAGAAATGAAAAAAAAGAAATCCCCACAACCCCCTTATTGCATTCCAGTTCTCTGGATCCCAATCAGCACTGAGGTCCAATACAGTGAGAAGTTATTTAAAGACTCTGCTCACATATACCAAATGTTCTTCTGACCCCATAGGGTCAGCCATGTTACCAGGTCAATATTAGTTTGGATCCTACCCAAAATACCATGCTGCCAGCCAATCCTTTAGTGTCTAAAACTAAAGGCTTATTATAAAGAGTTGTTAAATGATAAAGTACTCAAATATATACAGAGACTTCCAAGTCCATATATCATGTTCTTAGGCGTATTGGTGAGTTTGCTGGCTTGGAAGTCCCTCTGGAACACATCCACAGCTTGAATGGGTCTTTCATTACTTTGTTTAGATCTTCGTTTGTAGAAAAGTTACTACATGCCTTGCTGACTCATAAGGTGTATCCCTTGCCTTCTCTCAATGGGTCAATTGTACAGCCGATGATCCTTGATGGACCATCAAACAGGCTAGGCAGTGCTGATGCCAAACTGTCTGGGGGTGTCATGCAGAAACACAGCACAAGTTTGGAAATACAGATATACCCTATATATCTCTAACTCACAATACAAAAGTGATATAAACATATAAACAAGGTTATCGGACTTGGCAAATCAGAACATGTTCACTGATACCTTACACAGCATATCTAGTATGACTCATTCCAATTTTATAATATTGGTGTTAATAATATCATAAATGACCACCATAATACATAGAATGTCACAGCCCCCAACTCCAGTGTCTCCCAACCATTCATGAACCTTGAACCCTTTTCTCCCCTAGGCTGATTTTTCTCTTACTCACACTGGCTTCCCCCAAGAGAAGTACAAAGTGGGATTCCCTGACCTTTCCTGTGGACTCTGGCTCCTCTCTGAGCCCTGGCTATCAGCAGAGAGGGAACTGCATCATCTCCTGCCCCTCTCTAGCTACTGGACAGGTACCGTTCATCCCAGCATGGCTCTGCTTGTAGGTTCTGATGCCACCATAGCCTGTGATGGATAGCCAAATGCATCACAATGAAACCAGGAACAAGCTGTACATGGCAGCGGTGGGGGCGGCAAAAAAGCCAGAGCCGGCCCTGTTTAATATCACCGACTCATCCGTGCAATTCTGGGACTAGGGCTGGATGGAGGATTGCATGGAAAGAGGAGCTGATCACGCCTGTAGAGAGACTGTATTCCAGGCAAGGGGTGAGATGGGATAATTTACTCTGTCCTGGTTTGGGCAGTGAGCACCATCTCCCATGCTCTCTCTGACCCCTGCACTCTCCCCTTTATGCTGCCATGGCCTGGTACTGTTCCACCTCCCCCAGTGTTGATCCTTGGACTCTGAGCAGCCCCAGTTTTATGCTTCCCCTCATCCTCTCCCATTGACTGTGGATGACCCACCTGACTCCTGGGCACAGTCATGTTGTGGCCATTTTCTGGAGGACAATGCTACACTCAGTGCAGCTGTGCTGACAGGCTCTTTTAACAAGAATGACTGACCCATCCCATCCTACCAC